AATCTCTAAATAATATAACTCTTTTGGAGAGTTATCACACCCCCAAACCTAAGTGTTTGCTTATCCTCAAGTAACTACAATGCACATAGTGAAAATATGCTAAACAATGTTAAACAATGCTGCCAAGTCAATTTAGATTCTTAACTCATTTTTCAACTCATAATTTTTCATTACTGCCACAGATGTGGAAGAATTAACTAATCTTAAAATAGGAATGCATTTTCATCTTACCAATATCAGAACCCATAGAGTGATGTAGTATGCAAACAAGGTGTATCCTATCAATACTTAGCTAAATTATAACAAAAATGATCTTACTCACTTATTTAAACTTTCAATGTTGAAGCAACATCTTCTAGCTTTATTCATTGCTGGAGCCAGTGTTAGGCACCTCCAGTATTCTCTTATCTATGCTAAAGCTAATGTTGGGCGCCTTTAGCATTCATGTGTTTCTAGTTCATTGCTAGAGCCAGTGATGGACACCACTGACAAATTAGAAAATCATTTTTTCTTTTTTTCCTTTTTTTTACTAGAGCCAGTTTCGGGCACCTCTAGCATTCTAAAATTTCAATGTTTGCTACAGTATTTACTAATGTTGTGAGATTTTCACGGTTTAATTATTTATACTTTATATACGTATTGAGAGCATATACCTATTGTGTTAAAAAAATTCCATGAATCCTAACTCCTATAAGAATCTAACACATTCCCTTAATATTTCATAACATAAATTTTCTCATCATCAAACTTCATCAAAAATAGTTTTAGAAATTTCATTAAGTAAAGCAGCAACTAAAGCAACATCCTAATCCTAAATGTAGTAACCCAATGCAACATGAACATGAAAAATTAACAACGCACCCCAAACTTGAGATGTGCATTTCCCTTAATGCATGCAAAGAAATAATTAAAAACTAGAAAATAAATAAAACATGGGTGAGGGGACAACAATACTCCCATAATGATGTTGAAAATGTTGTGCAGTAATGGCAGTTTGGAATTTAAAAGATGTTGTGAAGTAAAACCAGCACGTGACGACGAACGGTGTGATGATCAATAAGGGAACAATACCTACAAAAATTGAAAAGAAAATGAAAAGTCAAAACTAACATAATGTCAAAATGGACTTATTAAAGCAAGGAGAAAAATTAAGGAGAAGGTATTTCACTTGGTGAAATGAAAGCAATGTGTGGGCTTTGCTGATTGCAATAATGCTTCAAGCGTTGTCCATTAACTTTGAATGTTCTCCCAGCCACTAAATTCTTTAGAATAATTGCATCATGAGGGTAGATTTATTGTATCTCAAAAGGACCAGACCAGCAAGACTTCAATTTTCCCGGAAATAACTTCAATCGAGAGTTTAATAGCAACACAAGTTGTCCAACATCAAATTTCCATGGCAAAATACACTGATCATGCCATTTCTTGCTTTTATCTTTGTAAATTCTAGAACTCTCATAAGCATCATTCCTAAGCTTCTCAAACTCATTTAAATCTAGCATCATTTTCGCCCCAGTAGCATCATGGTCAAAATTCAGTTTTTTAAGGCCCACATTGCCTTATGCTTCAGGTCTACGGAAAAATGGCAAGCTTTGTCATATACAAGACAAAACAGAGGCATGACTGAAGGTGTTTTGTAGGCCATCCAATAAGCCCATAAAACTTCATCAAGTCATAAAAATCAATCCTTCCTTGAAGGATTCACGACCTTCTCTAAAATTTGCTTTATCTTACAGTTTGAGACCTCGGCTTGACAATTTGTTTAAGGGTGGTATGATATGGCAATGTGATGTTTTACTCCATAGCACTGTAAGTCATTAGTAACTTGCCTACTAACAAACTGGGAACCCTCATCACTAGTCGATGCTATAGGTGTGCCAAAGCGTGTGAAAATATTCTTGTGTAGGAATATCAAAACAACTTTAGGATCACTGGAAGGTAATGTTACAGCTTCAACCTACTTGGACACATAATCCACAACCACAAGAATAAAAGTATTTCTATAAGAAGACGAATAAGGTCCCATAAAATCCAACCCCAAAACATCAAATAATTCGATATCCAATATATATTGCATTGGCATCTCATTACGATGAGAAATGTTGCTAGTTCGTTGGCAACGATCACAATGTTTTACAAAATTATAGGCATCTTTGAATAGAGACAACCAATAATAGCCACATTTGAGGACCTTTGTTGCTATGTGCATACCACCAAAATGTCCGCCATATGGTGCATTGTGGCAATGATGCAGAATGCTTTGCTAATCATTTTCGAGACACATATCCTTAGAATTTGATCGTTTCATTGCTTGAAGAGGTAAAGCTCTTCCCAATAGTAAGCTTTAATATCTCATATGAAATTCTTTTGACCTTGATGATTAAGATTCGGTGGCAGCATACCACTACCTAAATAATTCACAAAGTCCACGTACCAAGGTAAAGCATCGATAGCCAGCAACCTCTCATCGGGAAATACATTTGGAATCACAAGTATTTTCCATCTTCACTACCAGATTCCAATCGGGATAAGTGGTCAGCCACTTGATTTTTGGATCCTTTCTTATCGTTAACTTCAATGCCAAATTCTTGAAGTAGAAACACTCATATGATCAACCTTGTCTTTGTATAATTCTTAGCAAATAAATGCTTCAGAGTCGAGTGATTGATATAAACAATGACATTGGTTCTAACCAAGTAAGGTAAAATTTTTCAAAAACAAACACCACTTCAAGTAGTTTTTTTTTCCAATTGTGGTCTAATTTACTTGAGTGTCATTTAATGTTCGGCTAGCATAATGAATAACATGAAAGATTTTCTCTTTACGTTGCCCCAACACTGCACCCAAGGCATGATCGCTAGCATCGCACATTAATTCCATAGGTAAACTCCAGTATGGTGATATAATAATTGGAGCATTGACAAGCTTCGATTTAATGGTCTCAAAGAACTTAAGGACTTTAGCATCCACCACGAGCTTCTTATTGTGCTCCAGTAATAAGAACAAAGGTTTAGCAATTTGGGAGAAGTCTTTGATGAATCTTCAGTAAAAACCCGCATGTCCTAAAAAACTCCTTACTTCCTTCATATTAGTGGGAGGATGCAGCTTCTCAATAACTTCCACTTTTGAATTTTCCAAAAGTTTGATGTTGATATATTGCTACAGCACAATGCAAGCACACTATCGTATAAGAGTAATAAAATAGAAGTTGTTAAGCTTTGAATGTCAAACCCACAAAGAGCTAAAATGTTTATAGAAGAGTTGTGTAAAAGAATAATAGAAACATGGATGTAATGAGTGAATAAAGAGTTAACAGCAAGGTATGAAATCAAAATGAGGAAGTCAAACAATGTTACAACATTCATGATAGCAACAGATCAAGGATTAAATAGATGTGGATATTATTTAGCAGTTTCTACTAAGCATATACTCAAGACAATGCATTCATGTGTCTCACAAAAATTAACATCGTTTAATTAACAAGAATCAACTTTCATTAATTTAATTTTAATTAAATTGTTAACAATGCTCGACAATTAGTAATATGTATTCTATATATCAAATGTTGCTCTTATCAAACTCCAAAGTTGCACAAATGTAGTATAAAAATTCATAAAATTCATTTCAAAAAATTTTAGAAATCACATACATAAAGACAACTTCATCTCTAAAATTATCTCATAAGTACGGCAGCATATGAAAAAAAGTTCAAATATAAAACATAGCAAAAACATTTAATCTAACACCTTAAGTTCAAAAACCAAATATCATCCAAAATAGAATGATATTCAACTAAACAACCATCATTTCCCTATCTCAACAAAGGAATGGAAAATAAAGTTGAATCCTTTTCATCACCACTGCTACACGGAATTGCTTCCTTGTTACTACTGTACTCCCGACGGTGGGTTTAGGCTTCCATGGATGATGGTAAAATAGAAAAATAAAAGGAGGCTCTAGAAGAATTAGGGTTTTTCAAGGATAAATAAAATGTGTAGAAAATAATATATTTATAGCCTTATAAGGTCAAACTTTCCACCATTAGAAAAGTTTCATTCTTTTTCAGAATTTTCTTTTATTTAAAATTTAAATTCCAACCTTATCTTCAGCAACTTATCCATTCCTAAAAATTCTCTAGCTACATGGTGATGTGTCGATTGCTATAGTAACGACTCAACAATTATGTCCTGTGTCGATTCATAGCAACGCCTACAACACCAGACAAAGTCACAGCATCAGAGTAGTAAATTCACAACAAAATCATCACAATTAGCCCAAGTCCCAATAATTCTCTCCCAATATACAAGTGATGTAAAATAACCTAAAATTACTCCAAAATTGATTTTAAACATGTTAAAGTACAAGATTAACCTATGTAAAAATGCTCCAAAATAATAACTATTTTGGAAAGTTATCACAACCCCTAGGCTCTAACACCTTCAGCATAAATCACCAATCAATAGAGTCAAAAGCCTTTTGGAAGTTCATCTTAAGGGAACATCTAGAGGATAAAGAGCTCCAATTGCAACCCTTGATGAGTTCTGAGGATATTATTTGAATGCTTCTACCTTGAATAAAGGCAGACTGATTAGAGACACCATATCTGAGAAGAAATCAACCAATCTTGAGACCAAAACTTTGGTAATCATCCTATAGACCACTTAACAACATAAGATATGATGAAAATCCCTAGGCCTCGAAGCATTAACCACCTTAGGAACCAAGATTATGGAAGTAGCATTGAAAGTTGACAACATAGAAGTAGTATAGAAAAAGAATTGTAGCACCTTAGCAAAGTTCTCCCCAACAATGTCCCGAGTATCTCTAAAGAATCAAGTTGTAAAACCATCAGGCCCAGGGCTCTTGTCTTTTCCTTACTAAAATAACCCCTCATTGATTTTAGAATATGTGATTGGTATACATAAAGCAACAACTGTAGTAGTAGGAAAAGTATACTATAGAAGATCAACTAATGACTCCATAGAACAAACCTGAATAACTTCATCTTTCCTCCCAATTATCCCATCAAAATACTGAACCATCTTAGAAGACATACCTTCAAAATACTCAAGTATATTACCTACATCATCCATAAACAACCTAATAGTGCTATGTTTCTTTTTATTACTAACAGCGTTATGAAAAAAAATGAGCCAACATCCCCTTATTGAATCCATTACACACAAACTTTTTGCTTTAAAAAAGAGGTTTTAACCTCCTCCAAGGCCAACAGCTCAACCTACAAGCAAACTTAGACAGTAAGATCAACATTATTACCAGATAAATTAGCCAGCTGTTGAATCTCTAATTGTTGCCTTTTCAATATAACTTTCCTAGTTAAGTTATCAAAATGAACCCTGTTAAACTCCCTGAGACACCTTCAACCTCTTCAGCTTAGTAAAAAAGGCCTGCATAGGGTCACACACAACCTCAGCCTCCCACGAGTTACCAACAACAACCTTGAAACTCGAGTGCTACATCCAGAAGTTGAAAATTGTAAAAGGCTTTGGTTTATTTACCAATTTCTCTTTAATAGGCCAAACCATTCCAGGATAATAGTTAGACAATCCTGGTGCCAAAAACTCCACAAAAGTGTTAGGAAAAACATGGAGCCAAGTAGAGTTAACCACTAGCCAAAAACCCCTCATCCTTCTTGTTAGTCCAAGTGAACACAAGCCCACTAAAAATTGATCAAAGATCTCAATCCCCTCCAAACTATTTTTGATGTATGTCATGTCAGAATCAAGATAATGACCCAACCTGTCAAAATAAGAGCTTTCTTAAGCACTAAGAAAGCTATTAAAATCATCAGTGACAAACCATGGGAGATCCCCAACTCTCGACTCCAATCCTCTAAGATGTTTCCATAAGAACCTCCAAACAAAACCATCATTATGGCCATACACAACATTGATTACCAACTCCAAACCAAACAAGTTCATTTTGAAAGAAACTGATTGATCATCCACTAAATAATTGAACAATTCAAGCCTTTCTTCCACATAATCCAGATTCTTCCATTTTCAATCGTAGAATAATTAAAACAATAATCCTAATCATCAGAAAATGAAGTTACAATATCAAGGGACTTAACTTGTCTAATTCTCGTCTCAAATAAGAAAACAACATCCACATCATAACTTTTAAGCTTGTGAAACACTTTCCTTTACTTTTGAGGGTTATTGACCCTAACATTCCAAAAGCACAAGGTCGTTGAGCAAATATGGAAGAGTTGCCTCCAACTACAACACATGCAATACTCTTTCCCATATCCTCGCATAATTTTTCCTTTTTTTATTGTTCTTAACCTCTTAAACTAGATAAGCTTTAATCTAGGCAATGGTAGAGCTAGTCCTAGCACTCTCCAGTGAAGATAAAACACCAGTAGAGCTAGTGAAGACTTTCTCTTTATGAGGGCTACCCCTACCTCTCATCTTCTTCTAAATCGATTCTTGGAGAGAAGTAAACTCCTTACTAGTTGAATCAACTAAAACCTGTACCTCATCAACATGCTTCTGCATGGCTATAGCATCATCCATTACCAATTGCAGGACAGACTCAACGAGATAAACAATATGATCATATATTACAAAAACCTCATCAACCAACCCATTACTAACATACTAAACCTCTGAACCATCAACCAATTCTCATTCTCTTACAATACCAGAAGATTCTCCAACAACATGGATATAAATCGAGATATCTTTATCAATCACAGTAGCATTCTGCTTACATACCTTTCTCTCCTATTCTCAAGACCAGCTGGACATGTTATATCATTATGCTCAACTATACTACACTTCAAGCAACATGGTGGCATCCATGGCACAATTACCTTAACAGAAACAAAACTACCGTCACACGACATTCCCTCAATAGTTTTCGAAATAGCACAATCTGTAGTAAGCTCCACACACACTTTAGCATATTCTAACCTCTCATTTTTAGTTCTGATATAATCCATATATATAGGGGTTTTCCAAAAGCACTAGCAATGTAACTTAACCTTGACTGCGAGTATAATTCAAGAGGCACATTAAACAACTGAATCCATAGAAGCATTTTTACCAAATCAAAATCAAGTTTCTTAAGGTTTAGTTCCCACTTACGGAGAATCAAAGGCTTAAATTGAATATGCCAAGGCCCCCTCAAGAACTCTATCCCTTAAATCATCATCATTAAGTCTAAAAACATATATATTCACCTACCAGACTTATCCAAACATCGAAAGATTTTTCCCAAAGCATCTCAACAATGTGTTGCATCGCACTGAAATTAGGGGTTGACCCAATATGAATTGACCCACTAAAGCATGCTTCCAATTTGCCATACCAACTTCAAAAACCTCAGGCGGTGGTTTACAAAGAAACTCCCCCTCTTGCGAATGAAGTGAATTAAAATTCAAACTCTACTCCTTCACTCCATCAAACAATTGACGCCGATCAACCAACAATGAAGAAACCATAAGAACCCAACTAATGATTAGAAAGAAAGAAACAATGGTGAAAACTTAAGCCACATTAGTCCCATTAACGCTCACTGAACTCTTATCCTTATATCAAAAATATTTTGTTGATTGAATCCTTTCCACCAACAAAATGTTTAATTATATACATTGGTTGTTATTTTATTGACAATGAAAAAATTATCTCATAAATATGATTATTTAAATATCATTCAACATATTTAAATTACCTAAATTTCATCTCTTTAAATTTTAAATTCTAAATCTTAATTTTATATTCTCTTATTCTAGACCCAAAATAAAATATCTATAACATTGAAACTCTACTTATAAAAAATGAGATTTCACTGAACTCGTTAAGTGACCTCAACAATAAAAATAGAATGTGATTTGAACATTTATGTCTACAATGTATGAGTAAGTTATCAAGTGAATAAAAATGAATAAATTTTTCACCACTAATGCATAAAAATACTTTCCATATATATAGTCATGTTTTGTTGAGATGGAACCTAATTGTGATAAACAAAACAAGAATAATTAACACTTTCGAATTCTTTTCGTCAATTAGGTCCGTTTGTTTCACAAGGGTCAAAAGAGGGATTTTTTTAATAATAAAAAATTGACTTATTATTTAAAAGAAAAATATTATTTCCATTATTTAGTTGTTTTAATATAAAAAATACACTTATTTGATCAAACTTTCCTTCAAAAATAGATTTCTCCCTTTTTTTCACCAATTCAGCTTAAAAGTTTCATCATCGGACTATTTTAATTATATTTCGTGAAACAAAAGAAGGGAAAAGTAAAATTAAATCCAAACAACTGTTTGATGGATTAGCAGTGGTTGAATATGTGAATTTCTTATACCATTGAGCGACGATTTCATGATTGTAAACTTAGCAGACAGAAATTCTCTCGCATGATTTTAGAGTTGTGACCCAATTGCTTCTTGAATCAAACTATGATATTTTAATTAATACAATGATAAAAGTGTGAAGTCTTCTATTTAAATCATAATAATAATCGCAATGGGATGTGACCACTATTTAAGTCCCGGAAAAGGGATACCATATATGTATTACACAAAATGGACCTACCATACACAACACGACGATTCCAGGGGTACCTAGATTAGGGTGCTGCTGTGATCAGTTGCGATATCGATACCAATAATGAATATTGATGACGAAAGAACCAAATCGCAAATAATGATTGTTTAAATGCCAGGTATGAGCAAAAGATAACCAAGAAAATGATGATTCCATGGGGTGCTTAGATTGGAGTAGGCATTGACAAGGTAGGTCCCTCTTCAAGCTCACCAGAGCGATACCATTACTCTGCAACAACACGGCTGCTATGTTTTGGACCCGAACTCTAAGAAGAGAGATTTGGGTAGGAATTGACAAAGTACTAGTCGAGCCCTGTTCGAGCTTGACCAGAGGGACACCATTGCCTGGCACCCCACCAGCAGCAGCACCATCAAAAGCTAAGAGAAAACCATTTTGCTAAGTCATTCCTGACCCTTTTGGAATAGATTATGAAGGTGGAAAACTCTTATGCTTGGGTAGGGATTGACAAAGTAAATCCCGCTTTGAGCTCGAACGGAGGGACACAATTGCCGAGCATCCCACTAGCACTAGCAAAAGTTAAGAAAAACATTCTACAACAGTGTAACAACACAACAGCTAGCAAGAAACATTTGACCAAGTCATAAGGACCTACCTTCTATAAAAGATCTTAATGGTGTGAAGCTCCCATTACACTAGCTTTTTGCTCCCTGTTGTTGAAAGCAGCGGAGGCTTCCCTGCAAAATGATGTTATTCTACAGATGAAAAACAAAAATTCAAATTTCTGTAACTGGAAACCTTTTTTCAATGCAGGTAATATTGTTTTCATGGAGTTCACTGCTGCCTCTTGCTTCATCCAACTGTTTCCCGAGGAAGACGGCTGAACCTTTCATATCACCTTTAACCTGACCCATTTCCACATATCACATCTGCAAATTCTTAAGGCTGGAGAAATATCCCGCAAACCGTATGGAATCGTAATCGATACTGATTCACGTGTTCTATAAATTCCATATTACAGGTTGAAGGAATTTACAGAAGAATCAACAAATTGAAACCCCATCCAATCTTACAGAAATTACGGTGAAAGCTTGTTTGGAAAGTGCAGCTCTGGCAGGTAGATAGTTGATAATTGATACATGTAATTACATTCTCCATAAGCTTAATTTAATTGGTCTATTTACCAGAAGCAAATCACCAGAAATCAACTCCCTTTTAAGTTCATCAAACTTCCACTCACCTATCTCCTCCGAAGTGTAGTCTTGATTAACCTTCCCAAACTATGACTCCAGCTTTGCTAGTTCGGCTGCAGCGTCTAGCGCCTGCTGCATTTTGGGAGACCCTTTTGTCTCAGGTTCAGGTTGTGTTGATTCCAGAGGTGGATGTAGAAATAAAGTTTCCTGTGGCTTCTCATCGAGACTTTCAACCTTTGGAGTCCCAATTTCTAAAATTGGCCTTTCGATTGTTTCAAATTCTGCTCTTAACTTTTCGATGTCATCAATTATGAGACAGGGAGACGGGCTTAAGAAACTAATTTCCCGCAAATCAGAAAAAGGTAAGGATTGCACTGAAAGTGTTTATCTCACCTTGAAATCCCATGCTTAGCATTAAAATGCTCTTTCAAGCAATCCACCACATTGAAGAAGGTTATAATCTGAAACAATGAACCAGTCAAGACTCTATAACCAGGCAGGACCAATTCTTAAAGACCAACAACTAAATAAGTATGCAGCTATAGCTTCTAGATTCACAAATCTCAAGCTTCAATGTGGAATTAAAAAAAAACAAGAGGGACTAAACTAAAAGATCTTAAAACTAGTAAAATTATTAAAAAAAGGCAATATATGTTTTCAGCACCGCAAAATCAGCTAAAAGAAGAAAGAATCAGAACGGAGGACCTAATCTGCGTCAGTGGAGCATGAATGCTGGATAATAACAACACATGGATCTTATCAGCGTAGATCTGACACTTATGACATCTTCTATGCAATATGTCTCCATGGTGAACCAATAATATTCATATCTCATAATTTTTCGGGCCATAAAAAGACCATTTGAATGTGTTCCACATATTTCAATATGCACTTCTTCAACGGTAGTCTTTGCTTCTCTAGCATCAACACATCTCAGCAAGATTTAATCTCTACCTCTTCTATAGAGAATTTCCCCATCAAGAATATACCCTGTAGCCATCCTTCTAATTGTTCTTTTTTTCTACCTCATATGCTTGCTACGGGTACACCTGGCACTTGATTTATTGCAAAATATCATTGTACCATGGATGACCATTTGCCTCTCCTTCCAGACTACAATAGTGTATTGGGATTCTATACACTTGCATCAGGATTGGCATCATATCTGCCTTTTTACTTGCTTAAAACATCACAACCAAGGTGTCTAAAGCATCTTCCATATGATTCTTTCCTAGGGTGGTAAGTGAATGTGACCTCTTCAAACTCTTTGATCAATTCAACGATCAAATCTCGATATTCAACTAATTTTGGATCCTTTGTCTCTCATTCACCTCGCAGCTGATAAACCACTAGCTGAATCTCCGTATACTTTGAGCATTTTTATTCCCCTTCCCAAGGTTGCTCTCAAACCTAGGACACAAGCTTCATATTCTGCCATATTGTTCGTGTAAAAGAATTCCAGTCTACTGGTGAACGAATAAAAAACATTCTTTGGAGAAATCAGCACTGCCCCAATTCCTTGCCCTAGGGCATTAGATGTTACATCAAAATAGAGTTTCCAGGATTTGTCCTATTATTATTTTCTTCAATTGTGATGCACATCAAATCTTTATCTAGAAAATTAAAGTTTAGGGGCTCATAATCATCTGAGGCACAGCTTGCAAGGAAATCTTCTACGACACTTTCTTTAATTACTTTTCGGCTCACATTCACGATGTCAAATTCTGACAATAACATTTGCCATCGAGCCATTCTTCCAATCAAGGCTGGAGTTTCCATTAAGAACTTCAATGGATCAAGTTTTGAGATCAACCATGTAATGTGATACAACATGTACTGTCGAAGTCTTCTGGTTGCCCAAACCAAAGCACAACATATCTTCTGAAATGACGGATATCTTGATTCATAATCAGTGCAGTTTTTGCTTAGGTAATATATCACTCTTTCTTTCTTTCCAGACTCATCGTGTTTTCCCATGACACAACCCATTGAATTTTCAAACACTATTAAGTAGAGAATTAATGGTCTGCGAGGAAGGGGTGCTACCTAGATAAGAGAATTCGACAAATACTTCTTGACTAGCACGAGAGCCTCTTGACATTTTTCATTCCAACCCTGAGGATTATTCTTTCGGAGCAATTTAAGCATTGGATCACACTTGTTAGTCAACTGAGAAATAAAACTAGAAATGTAATTGAGTCTTCCCATGAACCCTCAAACTTTCTTTTGTGTACGAAGAGGTGGAAGATTTTGAATTGCTTTTACTTTGTTCGAATAAATTTCAATTCCTCTTCAACTAGCCACGAAGCCTACGAGTTTTCCTGAAGTTAATCCGAAAGTATACTTTGCATGATTGAGCTTTAACTGATACTTCCTTAGTCTTAGGAATAATTTTCTCAAATTTTCCATATGCTCTATAGGATTTAGAAATCATATCATCTATGTACACTTCAATCTCTTTGTGCATCATGTCATAAAAAAGAGTTACCATAGCTCTTTGATATGTTGCTCCTGTATTTTTCAACCTGAATGGTATCACCTTGTAGAAAAATGTGCCCCACATAGTCATGAATGTTTTTTCCCATGTCTTCTACATCCATCTTTATCTAATTGTACCCCGAGAAACTATCCATGAAAGAGAACCATGAATTTCTTGCAATATTATCCACTAATGTATCGATATGGGGTAAAGGAGAATTGTTCTTTGGGCTCGCTTTATTCAGGTACCTATAGTCAACGCACATACGTACTTTTCCATATTTCTTCAGTACATGGACTATATTAGCTACCCATTCAGGATATTTAGCCACTTGAAGAAAACCCGCATCGATCTGTTTTCTTACTTCCTCCTTAATTTTCAATAACATCTCGGGTCTCTTTCTCCTGAGCTTTTGTTGTACTGGCTTGCACTCAGGCCTTATCAAGAGTTTGTGCACCGCTATATCTGAATTTAAACCTGGCATATCTTGATAGGACCAAGCAAAGATAGTCTTGAATTCTTGCAGCAAATTTATCAAATTTTGTAGCATCTTTTTATTAGAAGCAAAAATGAGTGATATCAACATGGCTGCCCATTACACAAGATCCCTTAATGCTCGGGGGCAAAAGCACAAGGATTGGTTCTGAGCATTACTCTGAGTTGAGCCTAGAAAATACAGGAAGATCTCTACAATCCAATTGTTGAGCTTTTCTCCTGGGAAACACGGGCAAATACAAGCTAGATATTTCCCTGGTTTGCTATATTGCCCAATCATTTTTATACTCACGCCTTCCATGGCGTCATCAAGCATTTCTTCATCTTCTAACAGCTCTGCCTCTCTGATTTCATTGATTAACTGTTGTTCAGTGTTATACATTCTTCTAGATCTGATAATGTACTTCATATCTGGGAGAGATATGTGTTCCCAAGCAATATCTTCTCGTCAATCGATCCTTTCTCGCCTCTACTATTCTTTTCATTTCTTTTTGGCGATATTGACTATTTGGCTTGAATCCCAACCCAAAACGATCTCTTTTTATAACCGCCGGTTTTGGAGGCAAGATCCCTTGCAAGTATTTTTACCTTGCAAGTATTTTCCAAAGCCTCTTCCAATCCTTGCTCATCTTCTTAAAGTTTCTCATACAACCATTTTCGTACAGTTGGACAAGTGAGGGCGAGGAAACTTAGCCCCCTCTGCGATGAAAGTGGCATTTACAAATTCTAAGGACCGAAAAGAGCATTCCAAAGTATTCTCGTTTGGATCGATGTAGGGAGCACTTGTAGTTACTGAAGCGACGATCTCCTGTTCAGCCCGGATACTAATTATTACTCCATCAACAATAAACTTCAATTTATGGTGTAGGGATGAAGGCACCGCTCCAGTAAAGTGAATCCATGGCCCCTCTAACAAACAATTATAAGTGGGATTGATATCCATTACCACAAACTTGATATTGTTGACAACTGGACCTATTAACAATGGGACATCAATCTTCCCCACAACATCCCTCTGAGTACCATCGAAAGCTCCAACAATATTCTAATATACTTTCATATGGGATATATCTACTGGAAATCTTTGCAAAGTAGCCATCGAAATGACATTGAGTGCAGACCCATTATCGATCAAACATCCAGGTAATACATGGATATTACAAGGCATATTAATATTTAAAGCCTTTACAGATCCCCTGCCTCCTTCCGAGATCACTTCGTCAGTGAAAGTAATATAATTGTCTGCAACGATATGGTTCACTATTCAATCTAGTTTGTTCATGGGTATATTCTCCGGTATAAAAGTTTGATTCAATATTTTTAATAAAGTGTTACGGTGCACCTCTGAATTCACCAGTAAATCTAACACTGAAATTCGTGTATGTTATTTGTGCAACTGCTCCACTACACTGTATTCACTGTGACTCAAAAATTTTTGAAACTCCTAGGCATGTGCTTCAGTAATGGGCTCATTAATCTTCGGTGGGGGCTCATCCTCATATATATTCAGAAGCGGTGAAGTTTTTGCCTTGCCCTTTGTCTTTTTGGCCTCTTTTGATGCCTCAATAGGAGAATAGCATCTACCACTCCTTGTTAAGTTCACCACTTCACTAATTACCTCGACATACACTTTAATTTTCTTATCAGCTCTTACTTTTACTTCTTGTAGCACTTTTGGCCCTTCCACAGTCTTCACCTCCCCTGATATGGAGATATTAGTGGCGTAGTTCCATGACACCCTACGTGAATCATTGAACGGGAATGGAGATATAGCGGAAATCACTATTTTAGGAGTGAAAAGGACATGATTTTCCACCTTGGGCTTCACAGTAATAACAATTGACCTCACAACCCTGTATACAGGTTTGGTGTACTCTGACGTGCACACCTCAACCTCTTTCCTTTCTTCAATATTTTCAAATAATTCAATCTCTTTATTGTCCATCATTGATTGAATTAAAACTATGAACTTGTGACAATGCTGAATCTCATGTATTTTATCATTGTAAAACTTGTAAAACAATTCACTTTCATCTAGATCAAAAAACAGATTTTGTTTAATCAGACTAGTACCAGTTAGCTGCTCAAACACCTAGTTGAGCAGTGACCTGATCTCAGACACGTACTTATTTCTCTTTCTCTTACTCTCTTCCTATATGGAATTTACTCTTAGTTCACCATGATTTGGCAATGGGTTCTTCGCAACATCAGGGGAATTGAACTCCAACATCCTAGTGTCAATCAAGTTTTGTACCAACTTCTTGAAAGCTACACAATTTTCCATTGTGTGCCCCACAATATCAACATGATATTCATACTTTGAGTTTTCATCATACCATATTGGATAAGGTGGCTGAAGCGGTTTAAGGTGGTATGGACGAACCATATTCAATTTGAACAATAATGCATACAATTCAGTATAAAAGCACGAAATTGGTGTAAACGTCAATTTCTTGGCCTCCATTCTCTGCCCATTATAGTCATTCCTATTGGTACTAGACTCTGTGCCCATGATCTTTGGTTGAGTAATCGTTACATTCTTCGAATAGCCTTTGTTGTAACCGGTTGTGGTGTTTACTTCATTATCTTTCTTTTTGAA